TGAGCATTAAGATTTCCACCATTACACAAGTTCACCGCTCTTCCAAACAAGGACAAGTCCACACTGGAGACTGGGGACGTTCTTCTAAGCTCCGGTTGCATCAACACAGAGTGCGATTGGATGAAAATGTAAGACGTCGGGAATGCAGCGATCCTTCAGGCCTTCAAAGACGTGCCCTCATACGGCTTTTAGTGTCCAGAGTGCTTTTTATAAAAGCCAGATTCATCCCAGGCCATAATTAAGTCAGCGGTGCACACAGCAGCATTCACACTGGTGGAAAACAACATGGCTCTGAACAGCGCTCCCGGGGGAACGGATGCTCGGGAAGTGGTTCAGAAACTGTCCAGTGTGTCTAAGTGGACATTCCTGTGCAGGGAGGAGAGAGAGAGAGAGATCCGCGGCGTATAGCGGAACATCCTTCTTCAAGTGTTGTGTGAGTCCATCACTCGCGTCATGTGTGAGTGTAGGTTGCCTTTAAAACTATTTGGCCTTTAATCGTTAAAAAGTTCTCAGATATCAGAAGGAATAGTGTCCGGTTTAAAATGCAACAAGTATATGAGGTGAAACTAAAAGGTTTTAGTGAGAGCTTGTTGTTCCAATTATGTTCTATTGAGTTAACACAAAAATATTGAGTTCACTGACACGATATAATTGTATTTAATTTCATTATATTTAGACTGACACAAATCATTTTTATGTGACTGACATCACCTCATCAGATCTGAAAATAGTTTAGCAAGAAAAATGAATAGGAGGGATGTTGTAAGCAGGTTCAATGAAGAGCAACACGCACACAGAAACAAACACACACAGAAACATCCAAAAAGCACGTCTGAAAACATGAAAGAAACCAATAATAAACTTCTGCAGATAAGTTCTAGGTTTCAGGTGTCTCATTTAACCCAAAGGGGATGATACCTTTGCAGTAATAATCACAATAGAGTTTATAATGCTTCTTGGGTGTCCTCTTTACATCGGACAGTTTGATTCATAAATAGCTTTCATGTATCATGGAAATCATTTTAGAAAAAGAGCTCAGGTGAAAGGATTTCTATCAGGGCCATTTAATATTTGGCCCTGATCATTAAATAAAATATTTAATATTAATTTAATATTTAACATTCATATTTTTTTTTGCGGGGACCACTGCTATAAATAACTCGATCCACCTTCGATCTCGCCATAAAAAGGAAGTGGAGCAGAGATTAGTTTAAGAGCGCGTTACCGGCTTCACGAGCCCCGAGAACAGCGCGTAGGAAACGGGTGTTTAATGCAAAGAAGTCCCCCGGTTCGCCTGTGACACGCGGCAGGGGGCGCTGGCGAGCAGCTCCAGTCACCATGTTGAGATTGTATACAACATTAAAGTAACCGGGCTACATTCAGCTAGCTTCGCGCGGTCAAGAGGGGGAACTTAGCCAACATAAAACTTTAGTACGTGAACGTGAGGAACTTAAATGGGTTCGTCGGGGCTGAATGAGAGGTTTCGTAGCCCGTGAGAGAATGGAACACACCGAGGCTGCCAACTTTTTTTTCTTCTTTTTTTCACCCATCGAAAAACTGTCAACTTCTCAACTTATCGGGCAAATGTCTCCTTTGGGTTAACGGTCACAAACGCTTCACTTACCCGTTCGTCATTTCAGCAATGCCGAGCATCGCGCCACTCTCTCCCGGACCGGACTGAGGATTTTCTGGACTTCGGGGCTGCTGATGTCCAGATGTTGCACAGTCGGGGATGAAACGTTGAGCGTCGGTTTTCACAGAATGGCGCAGACGGGCCTCGCCTCGCTCCAGCAAGCCGTCAATGCAGACCCGAGGGAAAATACCACTTCCGCCTGTGACTTTCAATGTAAAACCATTCTCCTCTTCGACGTGTCGGACATAAAGAAATCCAACTATTCATTAGATTTAAAATTACATATAATAATACAAATTAAATCTAATTTTCACAATAGAATAATTATTTCTCTCAATCTGTAAAATACATTAAATGTAATGATTCCATGAAACTGTTTTTACAAATACATCTAAAAATGTAAAGAATAAATAAGTACAATAACAAAAGGATCTAAATATATTAAAAATAATAATAAAGTGATTGGGAAAAGCTGTTAAGACAATGTATTTAAATAGAATAATTGTTTGCACAATGACATACGTGCTCTTTTGTTTTGCCTGTTGAGCAAGCTGTGTTTTGCGCATATTTGCATTCAATCACTTTCAGGTACATCTAACCAAATGCTAAAGTATGATAACATCTGGGATTCCACCTTGTCAAGATAGGAAAGCACATTAACAGATTTTTTATTTTTTTATTATCGGTGGTTTATTTTGAAGGCAAAAGCGCTTGTTGACTGTTTTTCTGTGTATCCATGGCAGCTTCTCATTCATTCCGGGACCTACTACTACAAAATAGCAATTGTCTGTTTTATTGCTCGTAAACGGCAACACCCAGCCTGCAATCCCAAGTTCACAGCGTGTTTGTGTCTCAACGGATGAGACGTGCATCCGCCGTGTTGTTAGCTTGAGTAGAGGGATTTGATTAATACGTTTACACACACAGAATCAAATCAGGCTTTATGAAAATACTTTTCTTTTTTCTGCCAACCGGAAACTGTGATACATGGCGAGTGGGTGCGAGTCTGCATAATATAAGAAAACAATGAACGATGATCAAATGGATAGCAAAAAAGTATCCGAAAGAAATGCATCACATTGGGCGAGGTTTTAATAATAGTGCTGTTTCTCAGGGAGATAAAAGCAGATAAAGCACGTTTTTCTTTCCTCCCAGTGGTACACAGTAGCTACGATTGAAGTTTCCTCCCCTCACTGCGTCACGACTAGAAACCACATATATTTCCTTAAAAGGGAAGTCCTTACACCCCTTTCCCTGCTCCAAGAGGGATGAGGACTTTCATAGCAACACACCAATGAATAACTGCATGGAAACATCTCTTCCTGGAAGAGGTTTAGTAATAAAATGACGATTTCAAAGTCTGAAAACCGCTGGAAGAATATTAACCCTGCTATGCTTTTATGGTAATCTTACAGTCCCGCTTTGTCGCCTGTTTGTTCAACCTGACTTTATCCTGTTTAATATCATCAATATTGATATAAAACAGGTATGCCTCAAGTGCTAAATGTGAAACATATTGTGAGTTTGATTTGCAGAGGCAAAGTTTGATATCAAAATGCATTCAAAATAAAGTCATTGGAAACAATCGCATCCATATTAACTTTATTGTAGTTTGAAATCAGAAATAAACAGAAAAAAAAGACCTAAACCAGTAATTGCTCATTCGTTTATAAATATCCAATGTTACGGTTAAGTTAAATCTCTCATAGCTCCTTCTGACATTAACCCTCGTAAATATAAAATCCTTCTTTAAAAATACATTCACTTGTGCTGAAGGAATTAAAAGAAAAGCTGCCGGTGGAATGGGAACAAGAACAGCCCTGTTATCTTCATCATCATTGGGCTGCCATGGGGACCGTCTTTCAACGAGACACCGCCACAGACACAGATGCAACAAACCTGGTTGTTCAGCAATTAAAGTAACAACAACTGACAAAACCACAAAGTATTGCCCAAATCGATTGACCCATGGAAGACATATTTTACATTAAATAACCAAAAAACACAACAACCAACCAATCACGACAGGATGTGATGAATCAAAACAAAAGGGCTGATCATGATAACTGCCCCTGAATTCAGAACGTAGGGTTTTGGGGAACAACTGGAGAACAAGTAGAAATATGTTTTCTACCCCTTTGTATCTGAAGTGACAGACAGAGGAAAGTTTTTTTGTCTGATTTTCACATTTCACACACCTAACCTCCATTTGCATCAATGCCTAATGTTAATGCCTCTTTTAACTTCCGGGCAACCAAACAAAGTTTAGTGATGAGTAACGAGCAAGTGTCAATTCCTAAGAAATACAAAAAACCTGCCTCAAAGGTAGTTAAAAAAACCAAACAGTTAACCATGCCCTAAAGAATTGTTGAAACTAATGTGAAGCAAACCAAATTTGCTTGATCTCCAGTGCAGTGTTCAGTGCTACACAGGACAAACCCAACAGAAGTACAAGAATCATCTTGGCAAGTAGTCAAAGATCTGAAAATGATATTCAAGTTATTTCATGCAGTTAGTTATTACTATTATTTATTCCTCCTCTAACAATGTGTGCACATCATGTACAGTATATTATGGAATGTTTCTCATTAGACCTAATGATTCCTTATAATGCCATTTGAGTTTCGCTTAAAGAAATGTCCACGAACTAATGTTATAACATACGTCGAAGAGTAAGAATTTGTCAGAATTGTGCCAAAGTTTGTTTAGACTCATGTAACTATTGCACTGCAAATTCAAATCGATATCAATATCAAGTGTTTGGGTTTAATCTCAACCACACAGTCCTTATTCTTTTTGGATACATTCCGTGGTCCCTTCAATGGTGAGCCCACTATTCAGTAAATTTCCCAGTTAACCTCCAGATTGTGCGGCCTCGCTGCGGAGTGCGTGCTTTCACAGAAAATGGTCCAGTAACATCTTAGCATTGTGCTGATGTGTGTTATTTTTGGTTGGTTGATCAACAGGTCTATCTGATCCCAGACCAGCTGTGAAGATAAGAGCCCCAGCCGGAGCCCCGAGAACCGGACCCCTCCTCCTCACCTGCACAAAGGAAGGTTAGAAAAACAACTGATCGGAAGAGGTGCGTGTTTGTGTGTGCAAAATTCTGATCAACAGACCATCTGCGTGTGCTTTTACAAAGCCTGTTCACTTAGACCGTACCTTGTGCAATGGCGCCCAGTTTGCTTTTCTCCTCCGGGCTGAGCTGCAGCATTGTGTGAATGACGGGCAGAAGGGCCTGCCTCTCGCTGCCGGATTGCAGGAAGATGAACTGCAGCAGGACGTTCTTCAGATACTCCAGGTTGGCCACGCTCTTCTCCCTCTCCTGGTTACGTTCTAGACGACGCACTTCACTCTTCAGCAACTAGAGAGGCAGGCAGAACATATCAGTTACGTTGAATGATAAAAGCCTGGGCGTTGACCTAGTCCTGGCATTGAATACCATTAGTTTCCCAAAATCGGCATTCCAGCCTTCACACTAGATCTCCGGCTAATATGGCAAAATACTCATTTGCTCAATAAATAACCTACACCATATATCCGCGAGTAACAACTTTGAGAAAAACTTTAAAAAGACTTTAACAGGAAATGTAGGAATGCACCATTAATGTATCAGGTTGATAAACTCTAGGCCAATAATGTCGTTTAAACATCCAATAGAGGAGGTGGCAATATGGTATTTCAAAGTTTGTTTATGACCAACAAAAAACACGAAATAAGGAAAAATCCCAGTACAGTTGGTTGATAGTGTATGTTGCTAAAAGGAAATAAGCATTTTCAGTGTCAAGGCTGATCTACCGCTACTGGTGTTTTAAATGTTCCACCTAGATCACTAAATCTTAGCTTAACTACAGGTTATCAATTATTTTTAAAGGTTGGTTGATTGGTTATTTTATCGGTATTGGATAGAAGGAGCGGGAAAATATAAATCATATGTATTGGATGAAAAACAAATCCAAAGTCAACTCAAGGACATGTATGTATGAGACTGAGATAGTAAAAAAAGTATTTTTTCTTTTTGCTGAATAACATTTCAAAACACAGTAGAATGAAACGTTCTGACTTTCAGACATATCATGACCTATTTGAATGAGACGCAACTGAAAACGGTGTATAAACCGTTATATAGCAAGCAGGATTTACTTTAGAGTTACTTTATCATCTATTATTAGGTGTTAATCATACAAATATAGAGCGAATTTACAAAGGGGTTGTCACCACGCAACAATCACGCACACGCTCGGAAATTAATTTTGGTCAGCGCTACTTGCCGTAGCCCAACACCTTACGTCACACATAACAAGTATGGCGGCGGCCTCTGAGCTCCTGCTCTCTGCTGCGTCGGGTTAGAAGCGTTAAAACGTCAGTTCAGATCAAGATTTATCAACAAACACTAACTGAGTTTCCTGGTCAAATATTTTTTGGGACAATTGGAGCCATTTAACCTCCGGGGAAGATGGGGCTGGAGCGGTTGTTTCGCGGGGCCCTGGAGTATTACTCCAAACGCGTCCCCCTCGTCAACTTTCAGCAACAATTCAGAGTCCTTCAAAATGCGTCGATGTGCAGGCAGACATCGCCGAGCACGTCCAGCGTGGTTGGCCGGGCTACAAGTGCAGCGGGTCAGTGCGGCAGGATATTCGTGCCGAAAAGTCACCGCGGTGTCGCTACAGACAGCCGGCCGCGCGCCTCTGCACCTCCGCGCAGCCCTCCAGAGACGTCACCTTGTTCCGGCACGACAGGACGCGCTTCTTCCGCCTCCTCGGGCTCTTCTGCGGCGGCCAGTTTCTCTTCTGGACATACCTGGGCCACTTCGCTTACACCGGACTCCGGGACACGGGGTCCGCTACGGAGAAAGGGAGAGCCAAGACGTCCACCACCACCACCGGACTCGCCGGGATGTGGAGTTTCGAGATGAACCTGGGATCGAACACCTGGAGGTTCGGCTTCACGCTGGGATGCCTGACTGTCGGCGCGGTGATTGTGGGCCTCGGGGCCCTGTTTTGCAGTCGCTCTGTCAGCCAGGTGGTTTTGCATCGCGGTGGGAAGATGGTGACGGTGTCCACGCAGTCCCTCTTGGGACCAGACCGAGGCCGCAGAATAACAGTGCCCCTGTCCCAGGTAGCCTGCCACGCGCACAGGCACGAGTCCCCCTCGTTCATCCCCCTCAGGGTCAAAGGACACAAGTTCTACTTTCTTCTGGACAAAGAGGGGACTGTGAACAACGCCAGGCTGTTTGATAGCACTGTCGGGGCTTACCGACCTCTCTAATTTGTTGTTACTAGTTGTGTTCACCAAGGGGACAAAGTTTTTATATGGCTGCAAAAGAAATGTCAGATTCGGTTTCGTCTCTTCAATTGAATAAAAACCTAATGCGATAAAAATTAACTTATTTTGGGCTCATTTAAAGATGTTTGAGATTCATTTGAAAGTATTAGTAGCCGAAGAAAGTTGCTTGATCCTCCCAATTATGTTCATAATAATTTCCTTCATATGCGTCTTCTACAATAACTAACACCTGTAAGGCAAATTTGTGACTAGCCATATAAATACAATTGACATGACTATTCACTTAAAAGTTACTATTTTGAATATTCTGTGAAATTAAAAGGATCAACGTCTTTGCGTTTTGTGCGTATACGTACGGTTATCTGCTCCATGAGAACAGCATTGGTGGCCTCGGTTTCGTGCAGCAGGCTGTTCATATGCTCCATGCTGCGCGTGGCGGTGCTCAGCTTTAGGCTCAGCTCCTCTTTGGTAGGCTCCACGGTCCACACAAACGGCTCTAGAGACCAAGCCAGACACAAGTTTAAAGTCACCACTTTTAGAAAGTCACGGGCGGAGGAGCTGATCCGCCTCTTTACACGCACCTTGTTTAGGATCCGGGGACGTGAGAAGCTGCTCCAGGGAGGGCAGGGGAGAGCGAGCAGTGGACGGGCTCTCGGTCTCGGTGGTCTCCATGCCCTCGCCCTCCTCTCTGGCCGTGGACTGGAAGTCGCTTGGGGACATCATTCCCACACCTGCCTGGTTGTGTTCAGTGTTTCTGCGCTGGGGGTCTGACGACTGGGACTTCCGGCCGGACTGGAGCGCCACTGAACCTGAACGTGTGTAAAAGTTAGCTAGAAAGTGATTCATTGTGTAGCAGGTGAATACACACATGTTGTAAAAGTATGACATCATAGAATGAGGTAAAACAACACATGTTAAGTGTGAACGATGGCTTAGGCTATATAATACATGAATTCATCTTTTTTGGGGCGCCCATTGTCAAGGAGCACTTCTAAACATGGATCATTATGTCTACTGAATCTTAACACCTCCTTGTTAGTCAGTGTCCTACTTCATTGCGACACGAGGGGGCACCAGACACATTGGTGTTAACCAGATCTTCAGTTGGCATACGTGTGAACAGAGGCGCGACGGAAGCGTGAGGCACTTGAGGGGAGTTGGTGGACAAAAGAGCAGATTATGATTAATGGACCTGAAACTGAACCAAAAGACCAGACAAGACCAATTCCCTCACCTCCAGTCTGCTGCGCCCACCGTCTCCCCGCATGCAGCTGAGTGAGGAGAGTGAGACGCTGAAGTGCTACGTGCATACGTCTTTGTGTGCATTGAAGTACGACCTGATTTTGCAGTCTGGTCAGGGATCAGAAACACGAACAATGAGGCTGACAGTTTCCTGATAGCTCGAGTGCAGCGGAAAAACTAGCTGAGCTCACTCTGTCAATCAGAGGACAAAAAAACATTTTTGGCCTTTAACTCTTTGTCTGCATAATGTTGCTACTATGGATCCTGACTCTTGACACAAAACTCGTTGTCATAGTTAATGCGCAGACGTAATTAATTAAATCTGTTGTGGGCTCAACATAATTCATTATGAAGACAGACTCATGATACATCAACCTAAAGTGGTTATAAAACAGAAGCTGACGGGGAAAACCAAACAGTAATTTATAGTAGAATGAATTTCCGGCACAATCTCTAGAGCCATGACAACCGTCAACAACATAGCGAGGCCTCAACCAGTATCTGGAACCAGTATTTGTAACTTGTGTTTATGTGCTGATATATAGATTTGATTAACGAGAAAACAATAAATACAGAGAAATTTTACTGTTATTTCATAAAAATAAAAAAAAAAGATTATAAAGATCCATCAGCAGTTTTATGGCCCATCTGCCCAATAAGGCAAATACACACAGTGGTGTCGAACCCTTCTGCCTTTAAATCCAACTACAGGGGTCGAAAGGCTCAAGTTTAACTTCCAGTAAAAGGCTGTGCGAGCCGCTAATGATGAGTCTCTCCAGATGCCACAGTGAGCTGTTTGCCACACTGAGAGGCGGGAACAGAGCTGAGGAGGTCGGCCAACACCTGGTTCTCCTGGAGCGACAGAGAAGACACGCACAGACACACGCGCAGACACACGCGCATACACACACACAACCACACGTACACATCCTTCCCAAGCCAATGCTATGTGTGCATTTGCCGTTTGATTGCAGAGGGCAGCTGTGTGGGAGGTGATGAATGAGCTTCTAGCGCTGCTCTTTTGAAAAACACACCAACACGCCCTCTCCTCCGTTCTCGCTCCTACCGTTCCTCTTGTAGAAAAGCAAGACAGAAACTTCAGTGCTCTTCACATTTCAGATGCATTGAAGGATCTTTTCATATGATAGCTACTCATATTCACTAAAATGGAACAAGTTTGTTCTTCATGCTTACTACTTTGGTTCTGCAGGTGGAAGAGCTGCTCCTCAACACGGGTCAACTGGCCCTGCAGGGTCTCTATGGTGGCCCGGTGGTCATCCTGCAGCTTCCTCAGCTGCTCTCTGTAGGTGTGGCGCTGGGCCTCGGCCTGGGAGGTCAGGTCAGCCTGAGTCTGGGTCACATCCGACCGCAGAGCCACGTTCTCCGACTGCATTGACATCAGCCTGCAAGGGGACACAGCGTTAAGAGGAAACAAAAAACTCCCCTCCAGTAGAGAATGAGTCAGTCGGGAATGAGTCGGGATGTCAGATGAAAAAAAAAAAAATGTTAGGATGAGGAAGGGGGTGGGGACGAGCCGGCTCACCTCTCACGGAGCTCGGCTTCCTTTCTGACGGTTTCCTGGAGGATTTTGTTGTGTCTCTCCAGCAGAGTGTCGTGTTCACTCTGGAGCTGCTGCAGCTCGGCTGTGGTGCTCTGGAGGCTCTGCTGGCTCTCTGCCAGCCTGGACCTCAGCTGTTCTACCTGCGCCGACAGCTGCTCCCTAACAGACAAACACGGCGTGTTCATCACGTTCACATCCCTCCCTCCCACAGCGTTGACGGACACCTGCTTGATTTAAACCGCTGAGTAGCAGTCTTTGGAACTGCAATTTAGATCACTATAACATCTAAATAATTTCCCTGTGTGATAAATCTTGACCAAGCTGTGCTTTCAAACCCTGAGCCCAGCATTAATTTAGCAAATTACCTTTAGTTACACAATAGTGCAATAGCAATTATCACGCAGCTAGTACGTCACTATACATTTAGGTACTTTCAGGGGTCTTTGGCTGTTTGATGCTTCTTCACTGACATTCATATTCATTGGTTGTGTGGTCCTTACCTCTCTAATTTGCCAGACTCTCCTTCACTCTGAGCCGTGGTTTTGCTCTTCTGCTGTTTGAGCACGTTGTGGACTCGCACCTTGTAACCTTCAAACTCGCCAGCCGTTGCAACGAGCGCAGCCTGGCATCAGCACCAAGATTGGGAAGAGATATACAGTAAATAGCATGCAATACTAGAGATTCTATTATATTCTTCATTATTGATGATTAATCAATCATCAATAATGAAGAGATTAATATTGAAACAAGCTGCAGCCTCATACATCATGCTCTCTCTTTTAAAGTACTGAGTATGAGCTGGGGCAACATTAAATTCATCCACAGCATCTCAAGGACTGATGCTGATGTTCTCTTGAGTAAAGCTGTATAGTCTAGTGGATCTTTTTGGTGATCAGTGAGTCATAGAATAAACTCTACAGGTGTGTGTGTGTGTCTACCTGAGCTGTATCTCTCTCCTCCTGCAAGCTGTTAATGCGTTGCTGCAAAGAGCTGTTGGTTCTCTGATGCTGCTCCAACGCAGACCTCAGCTGCTCCTGCAGACGATGACGCTCGCCCGAGAGCTCGCACACCTCGATCTTAACGCAAACACACACACACACACTTCATGGTTCGACCCGGGTAGGACAGACATGTTGATTCATAAAACTATACATTTTTTTCCAAAAGGGATAGCTGAGAGAAGCTTTTCTTTTACTATCTGTGTCACCTTGATGTTTTCCAGCTGCTGTTGATTAGCCTCCAGCTCTCCTTTCAGAGAGGTCTGCAGAATCATAAGGGAGCTTTCCTGCATGTCAGCACACACACACACAAAAATAAACAAACACGGCAACACACACACACCCATGAATGACTATTCACAACATCTCCAAGGCCTTCTCAACAATCATGCCCACACACGGCTGCACAACTATTTACAATAATCAGGAAGCAATGTTACACACAGAAACAAAAAATCCAGTGGGACACACTTACACCACATGCGCGCGCACACACAGACACACCCACACACACAGAAACGGACCTGCATCTTGGCGTCGGCCAACTCCTTCTTGGTCTTCACTAGCAGCTGTTTCACCTTGGAGGTTTTCTCCTGCCCCTGGTCCAGCCGTGACTTCAAAGCCTCTGCAAGCACAAATACACATGCACACGCACACACACGTGCAAAGACAATTTGGGGTGAAATTACATTTCTCCAGTATTTTACTTTAATACACAGCAACAGGAAACATGGAGAGAGGCAGGAAGATAACGCACACACACCAGAGAGTCCTGCGGTTACACAAAGGCAGTAAATACAGCTCTGGCAGAATAATAAATGTTTACCATCAGTGGACTGGAGTTCCTAAAACTGTGCACCAATTAGACCTACAGTATTTATTACGTTGTCAATATTAAAAAAGGGCCAAGAGTACATTACACATTCTTTTATTAGAAGTTTGAAATAATTAAACCCTTAACCTTGGCCCTGCTTATCGTGGAGCCAATCCCAGCCCATGAATTAAAATCTAGGCATGAAATAGCGAGTGTGAACATAAACATCATACACACCAATTTCCTGTTTGAGTGAGTCCTCCTTCTGGGTCAGGGTGTTTATCTGGGCCTTCAACTCCTCAGCACACGCATCTTTATCGGAGAGTTTGGCATTGAGTTCTTTGACCAAGCGTTCGTAGTCGGCCATCTCCATGTCCAGCAGAGAGCTCTGCTGCGCCTCCTAGAGGCAGAGCCGATATACTACGTCATTACAGGGAACGGAGGTCAAACGCTCTTCTGTCAGATCATTATCTCAAACCTTTAGGGGAAGAAAGGGGTTTAGGAGGAACACCCATATTCCCTAAGTATGTCATGTATTTTTCCATCATGCGCGATTAAGTTTGTCTTACTTGGAGATATTTCTAACTGAAATGCATGGATATGAAAATAAAATAGTGTGTTTTTCAAGAGATTTCTTTATCTTGGATTGTGTCCGTGTGACTTTTGAGAACCTTAACGGGACTGTAAGTAACTTAAAATCCCAGAATTTCTATTTAT